TTTTTTTTTTTTTTTTTTTTTTTTTTTTTTTTTTTTGGACTTGAAGTTTTGCCTAATTCGTAAAAATCCCCAAAAAGGAGAGAAAAAAGAATTGGAAAACCCCCCTAGTGTCAACATAGGAGAGATTGGATGAACATGTCATGATCTCTGGGCTCTTCTTTGGCTCGAGGGAACAAATTATGGTTGGGTTGGTTTTGGTTCATGTAAGATCCCGATCCCATTCCCATTGAGTTTCCGAATTCCGGGAATGAAAATCCATGGGGATTTTGGACCATTTCCACCGCGAATGCTGTCTGCAGGGACTGATGACCGCCGTTGTTTGACTGGTGGGCCACCGCGGACGGGCGGATTGCGGTGGCTGGAGGGTCGTTGTTGGGGAATGCACGGCTGAGGGAATGGCTTCCACTGCCTCGTGCCGGTGGGACATCGTGGTTGTGCTTGCCTTCATAGGTTGTGATCACTGCCCTTTGATCATGTGAAGCTCTCTCCACATGCTTTCTTACAGGACATCCTGGGTTTGTGCATTTGTAGTAACTCCTGCAAAAACAAAAGCTTCCGATATTTAGGAATCAAAGTTTGGATTTTCGGAGTAAATGAAATGAGAGATTGTTTTCACCTTGGATTTGGGTTTCCCTTCACTACTTTCTGTCCGTACTTCCTCCACCGGTAGCCGTCGTCGAGAATGTCGATGTCGCTGGTGGTTTGAACGACGACTCTCGGCTCTCTCACTGTCCGGCTGCCGGCGGCCGACATGCCTTCATTGTTCTCATCCCTTCGCCTGAAAATCAATACCCAAATCCTTAGTTTACAAAACAGAGTCAATTTGCAAGAACATAGCATCAGATTTAGCCCCACTCACCATCTCTTCGCCTCTGGCTCGACTTCATCATAGTCGTCCCCTCCGGATTTGCTCTTCTGAGAGCTACGATCGAAGTCGTCGTCGCCGATTGAAATCGAGGAATTCTCCGGCGTTGCAACGCCGTCGAATTGGGCACTGCCTTGGGTTGTAAATGACTGGTCCGCCATCTCGTTAGTGGCCGGATTCGAAACCACCATGGATAGGGAAGAACCGGCGGATGACAGCGACGACCTTCTCGTGGATTGGGGCTTTGGGTGGTTATGGCTGCCTTTGTAAACGATCTCCGTGATCTGTCCATCTAAGGATCTTTCGACCTTTTTCTTTGTTGAGCAACTGGGGAAGGTGCACTTGTAATAGCTTCTCGGATTTTCACTTCCCTTGACCTGTTTCTGGCCGTATTTTCTCCAATTGTATCCGTCGTCGGACCTCCGATTCACCGTCTGAGATTGTTGCGGGTAATTGTTGCCGTAGTCGGACTGCAACTGCCCACCGCCGTTGATTTGGCTCTGGTTTTGAACAATCCCGTATTCCGGTGAGAAGCTCTGCTTCACCATATTATTCTCCGACGGAAAACCGTCCTGTTTCTTGCCCTGTTCTTGAAAACTCCAACTCTGAATCGGAATCACAAAATGAATCAGAGATTTGATGAAACAAACAAGAAAAATAAAAAACCTCTGTTTCGATGTCACGTACCATCGGAGCTGTGGTGGAGGAAGGCTGAAAAGACGAAGGCGGCGGCTTTGACGATTGAGTCTGAAATGAGAAGTTGGACAGATATTTGTTTTCTTCTTTAATGCTCTGCTGATTATAACCATAACTGCTCTTCCAATTCAACGACTGAGACGGGAAACTCCCAGTAGTCGGCGACGGCAGAGGCTGAACACAAGAACAACAAAGACAAAACCCATTAAACCAACATGAATTTCATCAAAATAAATCCGACCCATAAACTACAATGAAAAGAAACCTACATGAGAAGCACTGAGAAGAACAGGAGAATCGAGAAGCTCGGCCGGACTCAAGCCAGGAGGAATGGCGAAAAAGGAAGAAGGAGAAAGGGGAGGAGGAGAGAGAGGCAGAGAGGGAGGAGGGAGGGATTTGAATTTAGGAACGCCGGTAGTGGAACTCCGGAGAGAACCGTGGGGTGCAGCGGAGGAAGGAGGATCGTCGAAGCCGGAGGCGAGAAGGTCAGAGTAAGAAGTAGTCATAAAAGGATGACTGGAGAAAGTGAAAGAGGGATGGGAATTCCCGGAGGTGTCTAAGCTCCCGGAAGAGGAGGCCATGAGAGAGGAAGAAGAAGAAGAAGAAGAAGAAGAAGAGATTGTGAAGAGAAATGGTGAAAAGAGAAAGTTAAAGAAGGAGAAGGGAGAAGAGGAGGGTTCCAGGAAAGGGAGTCTCATGGGGGATTGTTGACTGTATTTCGGTCAAATCTCGTGGGTTTGACTGAATGGCGGCTCACTTGTTTTTGTTTTTTTTTTTTTCCAACTTAATTGCTCTGTTTTCCATTTTGCTTTCTTTCTTGCTCTGTTTAAGAGAGATAGAAAGACATACTTTGGTTATTTTTGTCTTTCATCACCACTTTTCTCATGATTTTAAGCCACTCGTGTGTCGTGTTCTGTCCGGCAGTTTTTTTCCCCTTCTCGTTTAATATCTCCCCACAAAGTGGACGCAAAAATATCATAAACATTAAATAATTCTTTTTCAATTAATTTTGTGTCTAATTAAGCTCATAAACACAATTTCCACTCATAAGCTGCATTGTTTTGGTTTCATTATTCAACTTCAGCAGTTGTTTTGGTTTCATTGTATAACCAGAATAAATTTTAAAGATGTAAAACAAAAAATAAAATCATCATCAAATAGAGCTAAAACCGTTAGCCACTTACCGAACGATCCTGTTGTAGAAAGAGTAGACCAGCTCCCAGAAGAAACTTTATGAACATAATCTACTGTCATCTATAAAGACAAACAAGATAGTAAGCATTAAACATATACATAATTTGTTAAATAATAAATTCAGAAATGGACACATTAGATAAATTGCGTGACACTTTCGCTTGCTGCGGAAGGAAATGTGGGGCTGGGATTTATGACGACATGCTTTCTAGAACCCAACGTCAATAGAGATGAGAAAAATTATATTCCTTTAAACTATAATCTTTTATGAAAGAAAATTAATGTGGTATGTGGTATGTATGTTGGGTCATCAAGATACTTACATCTTCATTAATTAAAGACATCCTTAGGAAATGACATCTCATATACGAAGATTTTGATAATGATCGTTCCAAGCAAATACAAGATTGGGCCAGTTGAATTTGGCAACATTATCCTTATTTGCCTTCTTTTACACGACATCTTTTTTAAATAAATAAATAAAATACATAAACATATTCTCCAATAAAGTCGATTTAAAACCACAACATCGAGCTATAGCTAATACCTGGTATGAGAATTGGCTAATGAAGGGTGTAAATTAATACAAAGCTAAATCAATCCAGATGAATCCTTTGATTCCAACCCTATAAATAATTCAGACAAAACATAATTGGTTATCAAATGAAAGCTCAATTCATTATACTTGATCTTCTTACCATTCAAACCTATAAACATGGTCAAACAAAAGGGTTTTTTTTGTAGTCATAGACCACACGAGTCAAAGATTCCCTAGGATCTAATCCATGTTCACAATTTTCAAAAAAGAATGTTAAAAATACTCTTAAAAAGTTATAATAGAGTAGAGATAAAGGTGGAGAAGCATTCCTTCCTAACCCCCAAAGGTTAGAGACTATTATTCTGGTTTATCCATTCATTGTCCCATTCGCCTGGTACCAACATCTTTAGTTTTGTCATTACTGAATTCCTTCAATTAAGAAAACATAAAAAACACTGCAACAGCAAGAAAATAAGGAAACAAGACAGTTGGAAACCAACATAGTTTTGATTATTGTGATGGGCTTGCAACAAAATAATAAGACACAAGAAAACAACCATAATTTTTTCACCTAATTAATATTTATATTTCATATCATATATATTTTTCAGTATTTCATGTAGAAGGAAGAAGACAAGAGAACTCACAGGCGGCGTGGTCGATGTATCTGAATGGCGATGCCCAGAGAGAGACGGCATGTCAGTTTTGGTGGTACGGAAGCTTTGATGAAAAGTCAGCAGTCAGCACTTGATGAATCACTGATCCCTATGAAATAAAATAACAAGGTTGCACCTTTAATGATAATACTAACAACAATAGCTACGCAGTTGATCCGGTTAAAAGACAAATTTCAAACTAAATTTCGGTCAAATCTTGCTCATAATCGACCATGGAAGAAAACACACGCATCAAGCAGCACTGTTCCTGAATCTTCGACAGAGATGATTATCAATACTTCATTGTCCAGGACGACATATTCATGCAAAAATCTAATCAAACATTGTCTTCTCAATTTCAGCTCCTTGTTTTCTTTTGAAAAGCTAGATTTCCACTACTACAAGTACATGAACACGTTAAATAAAGGCTTTGATTAGTCCTTCCTGTTTCCTTTTTGACAACCAAATATAAACTATTTTCTTGCCACCCTTGGAAACTGGAATTAGCACATCCGTGGTTTGATATCCTCCTGCTCTTAGGAACATGTTTTCATGCTTTCATTCTCTTCTATCGCTGGAAGGAGGGGAAGGATATCTGAACTTTACATAAAAACTCATGACTCATATTTACGTGCTGTGACGTTAACATAAACCTTCTGCGGATTCCATAAAAGTAACAGTAGAACAAAGTTTGAGTTACTTCTTTGCAAAAGAGATAGCCATGGGATGTTGGGGGTCAATTTTAAAGCCTTGAAGAGCCTGCATCGCCATAGAGGATTGAACATCATCTTCAAACTCAACAAAAGCAATACCCGGCTTCACTTCAATCATTCGAACCTCCCTGAATCCAGGATATTGTTGGAAGAGAACTTGCAACATGATACTAGAGGTTTCATGTGGTAAATTCTCAATAAATAGTATGTTGTTTGGAGTAGCTTCTGCAGTGCTAGGATTTGCGTGACGAAATGTGGCCTACATGAATGACACAACGAAGAGGCTCGCTTAGAAAAACTGATTATGAATATGTTGGTTAACGTTGCTGATCTAAGGGGGCACTGAATTGAATCCAATTCGAATAAACATTAATGTCTTTCCAACAAATGCAAGGAAAAAAACAATCAACCAACAAACCACACCATCTAAAAAGACCCATACAACTTATGCTTGGGACCACTTCTAGAGTAACAATAAAAAGAAACAGCTCATATCAAGAAGGAAACTAAACATCTTACATCACAAAAAATAAAACAAGAGTGAAAAGAAACACACATTTGAACCACCAGTCTCAGCAGTTGTTCCATTGGGCATGGCAGATTGGTGTGCATCTTCAGTGCGTTGCTTTCTTTCAGCTGGATAAGCAAATTAAGAGATAATAGGAAACATAAATCAGTTTAAAACCCTAAAGGTCTTTTAAAAGCAATGCAATAAGAAAATGAGAGGTTATGTCAACCAATTCAAAAAGCCATATGTTTAACTTAAAGATTATGTCCACCAAAAAAATTCAAAACAAAGAGTACATATATTAGTAAAAATCACCTTTTTCCTCGAGCTTCTTTTTCTTCTCCCTTGGCACAAAGCTTCCGTCAGTTTTAGCAATACAATCTGATTTGGTTTTGGCATATTGAATTCTCTGCAAAAGAAACAACGAAAGTCATCTTTATATTTTTGAGATGGGCAACAGAAAGTCATCATGATAATAACCAGTAGAATAAGTTGTATGAATAAGCAAAATGAAGATACAAAAATTTCCAAGATGAAACAAAAATAACTGAAGTTTAAAACTAAAAGAGATTACAGTAAAACCTGTTTCTTCCTAAAAGAATCGTGAATACATCTCCAGTCGTGTTCTTTTTTTCTTTTTTCATTTTTGATATCTATGAGTGTGCAGCCTAGCTTGCATGCACCTCAACTTACCTCATCTAACTCTATAACATTTTGGGTGCCAAGAAAACTCGTAGGATATTTCCTAGGTAGGTGACCATCACGGATTGAACTCATTTCCTCTGAGCCTTTTATTATACCCAAGTTAGAAAAATGAGAAGAATTCCTTTTGATCAAATTACAACAGAGATCAAATATTCAGTGGCAAAATTTAAAGTAGTACATAAGCATGTAATTCATGATAGATGGCCCTCGTTGACAGAAGAAATGTTAACATACAGGATTTACACAGAGAGACCTCAAAATGCTCAAAAAAGGCACATAGCCAATAGACAGACGCATATGTCCAAAAGGTTAAAACATTATTTAGGGCATGCAAGGCATCTAAACTGGCAAAATATTGAGTGTTATTATGTATAGAGACCGCTCTCCATGCAACACTCATTGAAGCACAATCAGGATTCAGTGGATGAAATGCCACAAAAAGACTATGAAAAGCAAGTTCAGAAAATGTGATCAGCTAAAGATCAACCATAGGTTTATCATAGAATGGGAAGTTTTTCATCTGCCGCACAGCATTGCTAGCTGCAGTCACTTCACTAAATGCAACCCATGCCTGCCCTCGAAGCCTCGGTGTCTTCAAGGCAACAACGTCGAGAATCCTTCCATATTGAGAAAACAAAGCATAAAGGGATCTCTTCAATTCTGTCCAAGGGGAATAAAATTAGTATACCATCAAATCTGAACACTAAGAGGACGTAAATTCAAATCACCCACTCCACATATGTGATGTAATATCGGTAGTAACTAAGCAACCGAAGCAGTAATCAAAATACCATATGCTACGGGAATGGGTAAAGCAAGTAGCCGTCTCCAAATTCAAACTAAAATTTCAAGATATCAATTCCTTCACCCTAACAACCAAATTCTAACTATGATAGTTGTACATTCTCGAGTGATTACTGTGTGACATCATCAGAAATATCAAATACTGCAATAAAAACAAGCCAATCTTCGCCAAAATACAACCCCCCCCCCCCCCCCCCCCCCCCCCCCCCCCCCCCCCCCCCCCCCCCCCCCCCCCCCCCCCCCCCCCCCCCCCCCCCCCCCCCCCCCCCCCCC